AATCCCGGCTATTCAGGAGGCTGAAGCAGGAGAATCGCTTGAACCTGGGAGGCAGAGGTTCCAGTGAGCCAAGACTGTGCCACTGTCCTCCAGCCTGAGTGACATAGCAAGACTCTGTCCAAAAAAAAAAAAAGAGAGAGAGAGAGAAGGAAAGAAGGAAGAAAGGAAGGAAAGAAAGAAAGAAAAGAAAAAGAAAAAGAAAAAGTAGTATAAAGAGAACAGAGTGGGATCATTTTTTTTCCACAGAAACAGAAAAATAATACTTCCCACATCGAAGGCTCCTGCGATGTCCCCAGGGGCTTTCCTACTCCGCCAGTTATTTATTCCCATCCCCACAATAATGCTGAGAGGTTCAGAGAGGCCAAGGGCCTTGCCCCAGATCACCAGCAGCAAGTGGTGAAGTGGAACCGAAACTCAGATCTGCTCGATGCCCATGGCAAAGACAGCCCATCACAGATGGTCAAAAACCTCCCCACAGGCACCTCAGAGCCTGCAGCACCCAGCCCCCGACTCTAAGCCGCTATTTGGTGCTCAGAGCCCCAGCCTTGCCCACAGAAGCATCTTTTAAGCAGATAGAGGAGGCCTGTCCTTCCTCCTTGCCACCACACTGCACCGCTGTGACGACTTCTGCCATGCCCCCAAGGAACAGAACGTAGTACAGCAAGCCTGGGCAGAGAGTCAGAAAGACCTGGCTTGGGATCCCAGCTCCATCCCAGCTCTGGGATTCAGGGCCAGTGGCTCCATCTCCTTGGGTCGCAGTTTTCTCTTCTGTAATAGTTAGCAGAACAATACAGCACCCACCTCACAGAGTTGCTGAGGGGATTAAATGACATTGATGTAATATGTGTCTTTGGTACTATGTTAATGCTAGTTGGCCGGGCGCGGTGGCTCACGCCTGTAATCCCAACACTTTGGGAGGCCAAGGCGGGCAGATCACCTGAGGTCAGGAGTTCGAGACCAGCCGGGCCAACATGATGAAACCCCGTCTCTACTAAAAATACAAAATTAGCCAGGTGTGGTGACGCACACCCATAATCCCAGCTACTCAGGAGGCTGAGGCAGGAGAATCACTTGAACCCATGAGGCAGAGGTTGCAGTGAGCTGAGATCACGCCACTGCACTCTAGCCTGGGCAAAAACAGCGAAACTCCATCTGAAAAAAAAAATGCTACCTCTTGGCCTTAGTGTTCCCATCAGCACAATCATTATGCATTCAACTCTGTGCCAACTCCTTGAGCCCAGGGATTTCTGATGTGGACAACTACAGCCCTGAGAGGTGCTGTGTGGAAGGATTTGGGAGCCCAGCAACCTGGGATCATCATCCAGAGTCTGCCACTTGCTCTGTGAAGTTATGCAAAGCCTCTCAAATTCTCTGCTGCTATGAAACCAAGCCAGTGGAGCTGTGAATGGGATGAGTAAAAAATTTTGCCTGATAAATGTTGCTTTGTAAAAATCTGTATGTAATGTACAGAATATTAGTCTTTCTGCTTTCACTTTTCCACAATACTTATATTTCATAAGTATTTTTATTTTTTAAAAAAAGACCTAAAGATTAGCTGAGCGTGGTGGTGCACGACTCTAGTTTCAGCTACTTGTGAGACTGGGGTGAGAGGATTGCTTGAGGCCAACAACTCAAGGCTGCAGCGAGCTAGGATCACAGCTGTGAATAGCCACTGAACTTCAGCCTGGGTGACAGTGAGACCCCTGTCTCAAACAAACAAACAAAACTAAAGAAAACCTGGCAATAACTTTAACATTTGTTCATTCTGGGTGATGGATCCACTGATGTTTGTTAGAATATGATCTGTACTAAAATTTAAAATTTTATTTTAAGATTGGGCCAGGGTTGTGGTGCCACCTTGTGGCCATACTGTTATGATCTTGAACTTGAGACTTTTTTTTTTTCTTTTTTAGTGACAAGAGTCTCGCTCTGTGGCCCAGGCTGGAGGCAGTGATGCTATCATAGCTCACTGTAACCTCAAACTCCTGTGTTCAAGCTACCTTCCTACCTCAGCCTCCCACGTAGGTAGGATTAGAGGTGTGCGCTACCACACCCAGCTAAATTTTTTAAGTTTTTTGTAGAGACAAGGTCTTGCTGTATTGCCCAGGCTGGTCTCAAACTCCTGGCCTCAAGTGATCCTCCTGCCTCAGCCTCTCAAAGCACTAGAGTTATAGGCATGAGTCCTATACCTGGCTGAGACCTTTATAGACGCTTCGTGTGTGTGCTCCTATAACTGTCATTTGGGTCATGAAATAATGAATAATAATGAATAATAATGAATAATAATGAAGTCCTAGACCTCTTAACATTTCAGGGTAAAGAGGGCTTTCAAGAATACTCAGCTTTTGCTTGATTACTTCTAGCCATGAGAGCTTCCTCCCCACAGGAGATAGCGGGTGCCACTACGGAACAGCTAAGTTTTAGGAGTTGTCTGCCCCAGACCTCCATGCCCGTCCGTACATGAGGACTGGGGCAAGCGCCTCATGACAGAGATGGAGAAATCAAGGCCCCAGGGAGGTTGCCAGCCAGCCCAAAGCTGCTCTGTGCCAGAAGGCACTGAACAACTGGGTAAACTCCCTGAAGGCAGGGATCTGTCTGTCTGGTTCATGCTGGAGCTCTGGCACATATTAGGCTCTCAATAAATATCTGTTCAATGAAGGAATAAATGAACAAAACGATCAGTGCAACACCCTGCAGCTTGGGCCAATTATTCATTCTCAATCATAATAACAGCTGACATCCATTGAGGTCTTACTAAAGCCAGGCATATCCCGAACTCTACATGTGCACTGACTCACGTAATGCTCACTGCCACCCTAAGAGTGAGGTAGGTGTGACCATTATTCCCCATTTTGCACATAGGAAAAGTGAGCCTCGGAGATCTTATGTGACTTGCTCAAGACTATAGTTAGGAAGTGGTCCAGCTAAGATATGAACCCAAGCAGACTCAGTCTCCTCAGAGGCTTGGAGCAGAGGAAGGAAACCAGTTGAGAGCTGGCTCCATACAGGCAAACAAAGTGGAAAGAGAGGGGCCTGCGTTGCTATCTGCGCTATCAGTGTTAATCCCTTGTAAAGACTTTAAGTCCCAGGCCGGGCACGATGGCTCACTCCTGTAATCCCAGCACTTTGGGAGGCCGAGGCAGGCAGATCACGAGGTCAAGAGATCGAGACCACCGTGAAACCCCGTCTCTACTAAAAATACAAAAATTAGCTGGGCATGGTGGCGCGCGCTTGTAGTCCCAGCTACTCGTGAGGCTGAGGCAGGAGAATCACTTGAACCCACAAGGCGGAGGTTGCAGTGAACCGAGATCGCGCTACTGCACTCCAGCCTGGCAACACAGCCAGACTCCGTCTCAAAAAAAAAAAAAAAAAAAAAAAAAAAAAGACTTTTAAGTCCCTCCTCATTGGCCAAAAAAAGGGAGGATGCAGTATGCAATTCCTTCCATCCCCGAAAAAAAGCGCACCAAGGGATGCTTCTCAATTGACGTCTCTAAAAAAAGGCTACTCCCTCTCGCTGGGCTCCCACATCCAATCAGCAGCGCTTCTCACGGCCCTGCCTCTCCAACTCCACTGCAAAAAAAAACTGGCCCCATCCTCTCCCGCCTACACCCTTGCAAAAAAACCTGATGGCCGCAGCATCTCCCTCCTTCAACCTAAAAAAAACTCCTGAAACCCAGCTTTGCACAGACACCTCTAGAAAAAAACAGTACAAAGGGAATGAAGTCTGAACTCTGGCATTCCAGGCTGCAGCACCCAGGCCAACCCACCTTCCTGCTTTAAAAAAAAATTTCCAACAGACCCTTACAAGTTTCTTTGTTCTAAAAAAATTTCCCTTCTTCCTGTTCCCCTTCCCCTTCCTTTAAAAAAATTTTTTTTTTTTTTTTTTTTAAGACAGGTTCTCAAAAAAAACCCAGACTGGAGTGCAGTGACACGAACATGACTCAAAAAAACCTCGACCTCCAGGGATCAAAGAATCCTCCCACCAAAAAAACCCATGTAGCTGGGATTACAGACGTGTGCCACCACACCTCATTTTTTGATGTTTTATAGAGACAGGGAATCACTTAAAAAAACTCAGGCAATCCTCCTTCCTCAGCCTCCCAAAGTAAAAAAATAATAGGCGTAAGCCACTGTGCCCAACCCTTATTAAAAAAACTATGAATGCATACCCAACTTTGTTCCAGACACAAAAAAAAGGCAGGTCCTGCCCAAGACTGTGCTGCCATTAAGTGTCCAGATGTGATGTGAGGTCAGGAGTCAAGGGAACTGTGAAAAAAAGTGAGTCACCTGTGCTTCCAGAGCCCGTTTCCCGCTCTGTAAAACAAAGGTGAAATGTCCCACTATGGACTTGCTAAAAAAAAAATGAGTGGTGCCGTGCCCAAACTTGGTGTGGGCCATGAGCCGATGCCTGGGTTCCAGTCCTGCTGATGGCGTTAAAAAAATGCATGACCCTGGGAAAATGACTTACTAGCGCCTAAAAAAAATACGCCTCATCTATAAAATGAGGACAACATCCAAAAAAAAGGGCGGTGGTGCGGACTGGGCAAGGACCCAGCACAAAAAAAAGCCTTATATATTAATTTGTAACCAATACTTTTGAAAAAAACCCCTTCTCCCAGGGGGCCAGGCAGGCCAGGCCCAGGCAAGGGCTGATCCTGGGCCACTGTGTGGGTGAAAAGACATGGCATGAGGCAAGCCCAGGAGACGAGGGGCCAAAATCCATGAAGCCCCGTTCTGGAGGCCCACCCAAGGTGTATGCGAGGCCAGAAACCGGCACCCAAGGAAAGAGGTGAAAGCTGGGGAGAAAAAAAATCAGGAGCCAGGGGTACACACAGCAAGCCAGGGAAAAAAACACAAGGATGCAGAGACAGCAGTGACACTTGGGGAAAAAAAAGGTCTGCTCAGCCCCCCACTGCCTGGGCCCAGGCCCTGCTACCCCTGGCCTTCACTGCCGGCACTTCTGGAGAAAAAAAAACGGCAGAGCCAGTCAGTGAGAAGAACACAGGCGTAAAAAAAATTTATTCATGAGAAGACTGAGGGTCCGTCAGGGAAAAAAACCAATGGCGACAAGCTCCAGAAGCCCGCGTCGCAACAGCCGGGAGGGCCGGGCCACCCCAGGCAGGAGGCAGTGGAAAAAAAGCCACCCTGGGCACTGAAGAGCAGACGCAGGCAGAAAAAAACACAGAGGGGCTCTCATCATGGCCTGCCTGCCCTAAAAAAACCCCAGGTCCCCACCTATCGGTTAAAGTGCAGCTGGGAGGGAGGAGGCAGGCAGAACTGGGGAGCTAGAGAGAGCCCAAGTGAACCCTGGCTGTCCACGCGAGTCCCATGTCCTCCAAAAAAAGGAGTTCCCCGAGGTTTAGTGAGCCCATCCCACCTAGGGATCCCACCTTGGGGCAAGGGAGGTAACCCCTCCCTCAAAAAAACATCCATATTTAGAAAGAGCATCCCTGGGAGAGGAAAAAAAGCTCTGGCAGCTTTTTGGGGGGCCTAGAACTTGGAAAAAAATGGGGGGCGCTAACATTTCTAACAGGGAGAGGAAAAAAAAACTCATCTTCAGGGGTGGTCTTGGGGGGTCATACCCCTCCCTCTGGCCTTGGAAGACTCTTCCCTTTCCTCCTTCCCCTCCTCCTCTTCCCCCACCAGGCAAGCCAAGGAAGCCCGAGACAGGCCCGGAGAGCCTGGCTCCCAGCTCCTGTGTCATGAAAAAAAAGGGTCCTGCCCAGGCCTGACTCCCAAACCCCTCCGCTGAGGGAGGGTCACTTCAGTGCCACTGGGGCGGCGCTCCAAAAAAAACGGGAAGTGGGGTGAGGGGTCTTGGGGAAACCTAAAAAAACGAGCCTCCTGTTTCTGCCAGTGGTCTTTCTAGCCCAGCCCGTCCCTCCAGCCTGAGGCTGGCGAGATGCTCACCAAAAAAACGGAACCTCAGCAGTACCATCTGCACCCCCAGGGAAAAAAACCTGGTTCATGCCATCTTGGATGGCCTCCCCCAGAAAAAAACAGCTCAGCCAACTTCCTCCCCCTCCCACAGGCAAAAAAAAAGAAGCCAGACAGGAAGAGACCAACCCCCCCAAAAAAAAAAACCCTGAAGACCTCTGCTTCCTCCCCCCACTCTTAAAAAAATTAAATTGTGCGGCTTGGCTCCAACCCCTCCCCTAAAAAAATCCATGGCAACCGGGCAGCATTCCAAGTCCGAGTAAAAAAACAAGTCCATCCAGTGCCAAAGAGGGGCTTCAGCCAAAAAAATGACTCTTCCCCAGAGAGTGAGACCCAGCATTCCAAAAAAAGATGAGAGGGGAGGAAGAGTCGGGGGGCCTCAGTAAAAAAACCCCTCTTCCTCCGTGTGGGGGGCCCCTGGGGGTAAAAAAAGCTCAGGGGTCTGCCCGCCAGGGTGGGGGTGGGGATGGGGGTGAGGGTGGGTGCCGGGCTGGGATCCCGGCCCGTAAAAAAACTGCACGTAGACGCTCAGCCCCTCGTGACTAGGCAAAAAAACGCAGGCCTGGCAGCTACAGTGCAGGATCTTCTCCACCAGCTTGTCCACCCTGGGCACCTCCTCGTGGCCCGGGCACTCCAGCGTCACCTGCAGAGGGCAAGAGAGAAGGGGTGGCAAAAAAACAAAGGCCTGGGGCAGGCGAGGAAGCCCCTAGGGTAATACTTCCTCATGGGACCAAGAATCCCAGAGCCCACCTGTGATGCCCAGTTAGCGCCAGGGTCCCATGGGGAGGGGGAAAAAAAAAACCTGCACAAGCCACCAGAGCCGTCCCCTCACATCCAGTCCTGCCACCTTCCCACCCATTCCCCACCAGCAGCCACAAAAAAATCCAGTGTGGTCTGCCCCTGCTAAAATCCACCCCAAAAAAACCGGATCCCCCTGCACTTGGAGACAAACCCTGACAAAAAAATAAGGCCACGCAGGACCCTCCGGTGCCGCCGGCTAAAAAAACTCCCTACCCCGACCCTGCGCCACTCTTACCAATAAAAAAATTGGGCTCTGCCTCAGGGACTCTGCACATGCTGTAAAAAAAGCCTGGAAGGTTCCCCAAACCCCACCTACCACTTAAAAAAAACTGTGCCTTTGGGTCTGAACTCAGACTTTGCTTAAAAAAAAGAACCCCACCCCAAAGCCCAGCCCGGCTGAGGCTCGACCTGCATGAACCCCATCTACCTCTTACCCTGCCCCTAAAAAAAACCATCTAAGTACCTTCTTTCCTTCTCCCTCCCTTAAAAAAATCCTTCCTCCCTTCCACAGAGCGCCTACCCTGTGAAAAAAATGGGGACACAAAGACACATTTCCCTCAAGGAAATAAAAAAATAGTGGGGGGAATAGACCTGTCAAAATCACCCGGAAAAAAATGGAAGACTGCAGGTGTGAAAGGCGCTCGAAGCGGAGGCACACTGTGCTCTGAGAGCCAACGGTACCAGGGTGGGCCCCAGTCAGGGGGCCTGGAAAGAGGCCCTGAGGAAACGCTAAAAAAACCAAGGGCAGAAGAATGAATAGAAGTGAACTGGAAAAAAAAGACAGAGAAGGTGTTCCAAGCAGGGAAAAGAACAGGTGCAAGGGCCCTGGGGTAGGAGCGAACAGAGCAGGTGCGAAAAAAAGAAAGCAGGCGGCTGTGTTAAGCATCAAGCTAGTAAAAAAAGCGGGAAGCAGGAGGAGGCTGGAAAGGCCACTAAAAAAAAACATGCCAGGTTCTCGGGACAGGGCAAAGATTTTGAAAAAAACCTATAACAACAGGAAGTCCCTGAAAGGACTTCAAAAAAAAAGAGACATCAGAATGGAACTTTGGGAACATCCCTAAAAAAAACAAGTTGGTGTCAGACTTCTGAACCATCCTGTGAAAAAAACCACGTCTGTATCCCCAGCACAAGCCCTTCACCCTGCACGCAGTGGGGCCTTGCTAAGCCCCTGTGGTCATCTGCAAAAAAACAGGAGCCTGGGGAGAAAGGCCAAGGCCGGAACAAAAAAAAGGCTGAGACTGGGTGGGGCAGGCAGCCAGTACTCACAATCTCCCACATCGATTGGGCTGGCATGCAGGAGTCACAGTGAACCAGGGACTCTGTGGACTGCGGGAAGGTGTTGGGGAAAAAAAAGCTGAAGCACTGTCCTAGGCACGCCCTGTGGGAGAAAAAAACACATGCCCGTGTCACTGTCGGGGAGGCAGGGATAAAAAAACCTGGTCCTCTTCCTCCCTCTGGGGCCCCTGTCCAAAAAAACCCACCCATCCCTTGAGTCCCACCTGTTCTGGATGGACTTGGCCTCACAGCCGCTGTGACCCACAATCTGGGTGAAAAAAAAGGCTTCGCACCAGGCACTCTTATCCGGGAACAGTAAAAAAATGTTGATGGGCGGTGGGGCAGCCAGTAGCATGGCAGGGAGGACAGCCCCCATCAGGACCTGAAGCATCATGCCCGAAAAAAACAGAGCCCTAGAAAAGAGCACAGGTGCCAGGTGAGGCACAGCAAGGTGCAGGGGACCGGGCAGTGGTGTTACAGCATGGACTCTGGCGTCCGACTCCTTGGCGCAATCCCAGCTCTAAAAAAAACTAACCAAGTGCAACTTTGGACAAGTTATTTCTCCCCTCTGAATCTCACAATTGGAGCTGGGAGTAGTACTTACAAAAAAAGGCTATCTGTAAAGTCAGATGAGATATTAAATGGAAAAAAAAGATAATACACATTCCATATGTGTTGGTTTTACAAAAAAAAATGTTGCCTTGAGCAAGTTACTTTTTATCTCGGTAAAAAAATTTCTTCATCTAAAAAGGGGAGATGGTACCACTGAAAAAAACAGGATTGCAGTTACGAAGTGTTCAAGCACATGTAAAAAAATGAAAAATTACCACCCCCTTTCTCCCTTTGCTGCTGTGGGCCATCCAGGAAAACACACAAAACATTGTCCACACAAAAAAAAAGGGGCTGGCCGCACACCACGTCTCCTGGAAAGCAAAAAAAACCGCTGTCAGATTCTGATGTTTGAAAAGTTAGCAAAAAAATTCACGTTGCTGTGATTTCTTTTTGGTTTTGTTTAAAAAAAAAATATGTGCAGTGGCATGATTATGGCTCACTGAAGCCTCGACCTCCCTGGGCTCAGGTGATCCTCCCACCTGAGAAAAAAAAGTTGCTGGGACTACAGGCGTCTGCCACCACGCCAAAAAAATTTTTGTAAAGACCAGGTTTCGCCATGTTGCCCAAAAAAAAATCAAACTCCTGGGGCTCAAGCCATCTTCCTGCCTCAGCCTTCCAAAGTGCTGGGATTACAGGCGTGAGCCACTGCACCTGGCCTGCAGTGAATTCCTGGGCCACCTTGGCTGGCCAAAAAAAAGGCAAAAAAAAAACTGACCCTGAACCAGACAGTACTGCTTTCTAAGATGCCTCACCAGAAACTCGAATCCACGAGGGCTCTACACAGATCACTGCCCCCAGCTCCACTTTAACACGAGTCAAGCAGGAGCCAATCAAAGCTAAGCACTTAGCCATTAAAAAAACCCCTGCTATAGGATGGAGCGAGATACTAAAACAAAAAAAAGATCTGCCAAAAGGTGGCGCTGCAGGACAGCCTGAAAAAAAGGATTCCACTTGCAGGCGACTCGCCCCAGTGAGTTTCACCCATGCCCCTCAATGCAAAAGGCACGGGGCAGGGAGAAAAAAAAGAGGTTCAGAAATGAAGGTAGTGCCTTCTTCAAAAAAAAACCCAAACCCTCGGAGGACAGCACAGCAGAGAAAGAAAAAAAGGTTCACACGTGCTGGGTGACCGGGACACTCAGGCCTGTTTCCCGGCCATCTGTAAAATGAGTGCAGTGACCCAGAAAAAAAGTTCCCAAACCTGACAAATGATCAGATTTCCCTAGGGACTTGCGGAGTAAAAGTTCTAGGGTGGGTAGGAGTCTGAAAAAAAATTAGGCTTCCTAGGCAGCTCTGCCCTCAGTCAGAAAAAAATTATCTTGGGACAGTCCCTAGAGGGGCCTGGGTGAAAAAAAATCAGGAGGAAGAGGGGACAGGTCCTGGTCCCTGAAAAAAAACAGAAGCCCAGCACCAGGACTCAGGTGGCTTGGAAAAAAACATCCCATTTAGGACAATCCTACCATGGGCCATGAAAAAAACAGAGACAGGTACTTTATTTTTTTATTTTTATTTAAAAAAATTTTTTTTGAGACGGAGTCTTGCTCTGTTGCCCAAAAAAAAGTGCAGTGGCATGATCTTGGCTCACTGCAAGGTCAAAAAAACGGGTTCATGCCATTCTCCTGCGCTGCTCAGCCTCCCATGTAGCTGGGACTACTGACGCCCGCCACCATGCCTGGCTAATTTTTTGTATTTTTAGTAGAGACGGGGTTTCACTGTGAAAAAAAGGACGGTCTTAATCTCTTGACCTCATGATCTGCCAAAAAAAGCCTCCCAAAGTGCTGGGATTACAGGCATGAGCCAAAAAAACTGGCCTTGCTTATCTATTTTTTTGAGACGGTGTAAAAAAATGTCGCTAGGCTGAAGTGTCATGGCATGATCTCGAAAAAAAGCAACCTCCGCCTCCCAGGTTCAAGTGATTCTCCTGCCTCAGCCTCCTGAGTAGCTGGAATTACAGGCACTCGCCAAAAAAACTGGCTAATTTTTGTATTTTTAGTAGAGATGGGGAAAAAAAATGTTGGCCAGGCTGGACTCAAACTCCTGACCTCAAAAAAACTGCCCACTTTGGCCTCCCAAAGTGCTGGGAGTAAAAAAAAGAGCCACTGTGCCCAGCCCAGAGCCAAGTACTTTAAAAAAAGTGTCTGGGGAGTAGAGGTCTCAAGGGGGCTGGCAAAAAAAGGCTCCTGCAGGGCTGTGACCCCCTCCAGGTACTAAAAAAACCATCCAGCAAGTTCTCCCAGCTCCTGCCCCTCTAAAAAAAGTCTCCATCTCAGGAGACCCCAATGCCAGGATAAAAAAAAATCCCAGCCCACTGCGGAGGAAGGGCAGCTGGAAGTGAGGTCGGACAGGCTGCCCCCGCCGCCTCCCAAATGAGTTAAAAAAATGATCCAGGCCCTCACCCATGCATTTCCGGTCTCAAAAAAAAAGCCCATGTTTCCAGTACAACCACATCCTAACAAAAAAAAATGGATTCCTCCCTAACTGGCAACCCAGTGAATTAAAAAAAAAGCCTGGCATGCAGGAGGCTTCCTCACTCCTGAAAAAAAATCTGCCCACAGCACACCTGAAGGGTCCTGGAGGTCCATTTAAGGCCAGGGCTCCCTGGGCTGGACTGGCCCCCTAGACCCTTGGAGAGGCCCAGGGACTCTTGTCCTCCTGTCTCTGACCCCATCTTGCTTCCTCAGAAACAACAGGTCACAGGGGGCCAGGGAGGTGGCTGGGGCAGGAAGTGATGTGGATTTGGAATTGAGACTGGGGTTGTAATGAAAGTAGCCTGGGCCAGGCATGGTGGCTCACCCCTGTAATTACAGCACTTTCGGAGGCCAAAGCGGGAGGATCGCTTGAGCTCAGGAGTTCAAGACTAGCCTGAAAAAAAAAGTGAGACTTGGTCTCTAAATAAAATAAAATATAAAAAAATGATCACATTGTGATAATCACATTTTTTATTATCAAAAAAAGTGTTGTGATGTGCACACCTGTAGTCCAGCTATGTGGGAGGCTGAGGCGGGAGGATGGCTTGAGACCAGAAGCTTAAAAAAACAGTGAGCCATGACTGCATCCCTCCCTGCACTCCAGACTGGGTGACAGAGCAAGAACCTGTCGAAAAGGAAAGGGAAAAAAAGGACAGGAAAGAAAA